TGGTTTTTCTCTTTTCGCTGAGAGCGCGACGAGAGAAGAGAAAAGCCGAGAGAAAGAAAGAGAACGAGAGAGAAAAGAAAAAGAAGCAAACGCACCTCATAAATCTGAATGTGCATTGTTATGGAAAGCCATAGAATCAGAGAGACCACAATTCGAAATGAAAGAGAAAAATAAAGACCGAAGTGAAGAAGCCGTAGGGAAATGCAATCGTCGAACAATGATAATAATGCTAACAATTAAGTAATTTTGTTAGCGTAAACATCGTCATAAGCGCGAAGTGTCGAAGGCGAATAGAAGAACTGAATAGTCGTAAAAAATCAACTAAATGAAATCTAATATGTACATTCTATTAACCGGCACAAGGGCAAAGGACCAACAACCTCACAAATATAGAAATCATACACGACCAAAAACGAATGAAAAACAAAATAATACTTGCGCTCACCAACACTTGTACGCGCGGGTTCTCACACACAGAGCCAATTGCATTCGCCAGCTACGAGCTGAACGGCAAGAAAATGATAGCTGAGAAATAAAATAAAGCAAAATCAACAGAAAAATTGCAATGCACTGCACATGCACACAACAAACCAATATTACTCGAGCCATATAGCTGGCTCTCATTCTCCCATACTCGCTCGCTCGCTCTCTTGCTCTCACTCCATTTGAATTGTCGCGTTCTCGCTCTTTCGCGCTGCCTGCACAATATTTACCACTTACCTCATCATCATCATCATCATCGGATCGGCATACAGCGCAAATTCGCGTCATCACATCTATTTACGACACCCGAACGCAAGTGAGACCGAGATGGAGAGAGACGATGTGAGTCGTCGTGCATTTCACACAATTACAATGTTGTGCTGCATTTTGTGCATTCACAAAACCGAAGTCCCTCGCCAGCTAGCTACGTTTGTGTGAGCGAGCTAGCCAACGAATGAACGAGTGTATTTATTTATTTATTTATCGTATGGCAGAGTGTGTTTTTTCTTTAATTCTCTTCGTTAAATTCATTCGTTGTTTGTTGCGTTCGTCGTTTTTCATAATAATTGCACATGAAATGCATTTGTTCGAACGTTCAGTGTCGGTCATGCACACGCATCGATTTCGTTTGTAGACAAAATTTACGCGCGCGGGGCAAAAAACCATCAAATCGTGTCATTTTACGAATATTACACGAATAAAAAAAAGCAGCGAAACAAAGCAATATATAAAATGCACACACAATTTTCAGTGAATTCAAATGCAAAAAAAAAAATAAAATCCAACACGCAGCCAGAGCCACGATTAGCTTCAATTAGCTAAAGCAAAACGACACAGTCTTGGGCTTCAGAAGATGAACTCAGCATAGATTTAAATGTGTGTTAACTCGAAATGAAACATGATTCATTGCAAACCCCTGGACGAATATCATTACTATGTTGATTTGACACGTCCACTCAAACACAAAATTCTAGATTTTTTCTGTATACACACAATATCTAGCTGGCTATCTATCTATCTATCTAGCTATCATACTATCTATTTTTATATATCTATCTACGAAACGACCAAGCGAACGAACGAACAAACGATTGAACAGAGCGATGAAAAAAAGTCACACACCAAGAGAGATCTTTTGACTCTTTTCGGAAAGCACAAAAATGTATAAAACAGCTAATTTGTGATCAGAGTACAAACCACTGAACAGTAGTTGCGCGCGATGGAGAGAGATAATAATGCATACAGAAAAATAACACAAAACGCCCGTAAAGTAGAAGACAACAAAACAGTCAACAAAAACAGCACACACACAAAAGCACATAATGAACTGAAAAGAAAGAAACAGACTCAAATTAAACTTATAGTAAAAGATGAAAAGAAAATGCGCGAATCAAATTATGAATTCAGCGTAATGGACTGAATGGCGGACAACGGGTTAAATATTGTGTGTGACAAGGAAAATGCGAATATAAATCATTCATTTAAAATGCATCGTACTGCACTGGTTGCAATTTATGCATATTATTTTCTCCCATTTATTTAAATTTCTCTTTTTTCATCAATGTCGATTATTTGCTGGTGTGAGTTTGTCTGTTTTTTTTTAAATAAATTTTGTTTCTTTTCCTTTTTTTCCATTCGTTTTATTCTTTTTTTTCTCTCTCTCTGCGCTTTTTTCGTGTGTGGTGTGTGTTTTTTTCTTCTTTATTCGTTTCATTCGTATTTTTGGATGTCTTTTTTTTCTTTCTATATTTTAATTTTATCGTTATTATTTTAATGGTATTGTTTGTTTGGTGTAAAAGCGTCGCCACCGTATGCATTGCTATTTCACTGATGATTTGGCTTTCTTGCCGTTTGCAAAAAATGAAGCAAAAAAAAAAATCTAATTTTCACCAGCATTTGTGGCCCTTTGCGTCTCTCTTGCCGCTCACGCTCGTGCCCGCCTGCCTGCCTGACTCACACCGATTTCTCTTCCGAACCGTAGTTTTCTGGTGGATTTTTTATTCCATTTCCTTTCAATGTTTCACATTTCACATCGGTTTGCTCTATTGGAAATTCTTATTTGTAGAAAACGGTCTTTGCGCTGGCATTTTGTGCCATTTTTTTTCGTGTCGTTTTCTTTCGCTAAATATGTAGCATATATATACCCAATGCCGATACACTTTGAATACTTAAGACCTGAACGGTATACAATCGAATGAAGAACGAGTAAAAAAAAAATCAACGCCAAAATAAAACCGAAAAAAAATTTGACTGCGTTTGAATTTGGTGCTCAGTGTTTCGCAAGCATATATGCATATTTTTAAGCCCATAGCCAGACAGTGCACATATCGCATTCAGCGCGATATCGATTGAGCACGCAAATCACATTCATTCGTCGTTGGTCGCCGTTGATTCAACACTTTTCTCTCTCTCTCTCGCTCGCTCTTCGCTCCTACTTTTTCTTCTCTCTTTATATACTCATCTATTTCACATCGTGCATTAATTTCACAGTTTGGTTTATAATCTTGTCTATAGTCTATATCATGTGGTTAGGCTTGCCGATTTGACTTTTATCATATTCGATTGCACTCCATGATCTGTTGGCCAAAAGAAAGGTGAAAAAGAAAGCCATTTCAAATAAAAAGAACGTTTATTTATGTTTTTTTCTTTATCTCTCGCTCTCTGCCAACGATTTGCTTGCATCGTTTCAAATGAATGCAAAAAAAAACGACGAATATAAGATGAAGAGAGAAAAATATAAAAACAAGAGGAGAAAAAAAAATTGATGGAAAAACTCGTTTTGGTAGTTGATTTTTGCTGCTTACTGCTACGTTGTTACTGAAATAAATTTTCTTCAGTTTTCGACTTTGTTTTGACTTTATTTCATCTTAACGTGTGTGTGTTTTTTTTTCTCTCTCTCTCACCGTTGTTCTCTTCCACCGAGTCTATCTCTCTACATTTCATTCAGGTCGGTTGGTTTGTTGCTGGCGTTCTCATCATTGTGTTACATTTAACCCGAGAAGATAATGATATCCATGCAGTGGAATTGGCTGTGTAATCAAAAAAGTCGCATAAATTGAAACACACGCAAATGTAATGAGCAGCAAGTTGCCAATCATCGTTTCTAAATTGAATTTAATTTGTAGGAAAATTTCTCTCGTCGTAATGCACACAGCATACACTCACTGAATGTGCTCGCAGCACACAAAATAATAAAAGATGCAGCAGAAAATGCAACAACAAAAAAAAACAACACAGCAACACCACCACTGAACAAAATAAAATTTGAAATAGAAGGCTTCGACCGGCGCAAAGCCCACATTAGAGATCACTCGATCATAGTAAACATGTGTGCCACCGCATAATTGTTAATCATATTTATGTAAGTGCATTTAGATTCACGTATGCCGAATGGCCACAGCAAAAACGACCAAGAAGAAATAACAGCAGCAACGGCAGCAGCAAAATCACACGAAAAAAAATATACGCAGCAAATAGAAATGTATAGAAACGATAAAGAACAATATGGCAAAATGGTTGATGAGTGGCCGACAACTATTTAAAAAGCAAGTAATAGAAACATATAAAATCTCGTTCCGATGTGTTGAACAAACACATTTTTTTTCTGTTGCTGTGGTGATTGTTGTTGCTACACTTCGCTCGTGGCGAGCCACTCAGTCCAGCGCTCGATTCGACTGGTCGCTCGCAAATTTGTCGATTGGGAAAATTGCGAGATAGAATGCCGAACAATGTACTTGTGAGTGTCACACTGTGTTTGGTCATGTCATTTAATTGTGATAATCAAATGCAAACCTCAAGAATTATCTGTTTCAATGTATGATGATACATTGTATGCATCAATTATATCATCTTCCAAACAAACGACCAAGACTATATATACATCACAGGCGGTTGTTGTTTCTGCCGTCAACTATGCTGTTGTCACCGTTGCCGTTGCCGTTGCTGTGTTGTCATAGCTATTGCCTCTGCCTCAAAATATGGAAATGAATGCGAATGAATAAGAGTGAAAAGCTGAATTAAAAAAAAACTGAGGCCACCGAATTTCCGACTAAAAAACATTTCCAAATAGTAAGCACGGCGAATGGAAACGCGACTATGAACACGGCTCGGAATTCTTGAATCCCATGTGAAACAATCGAAAAAAAAGAGCTAAAATAAAAGAAACAAACGAAAATTATAAAAATGGGTATTAATAAGAATTAAGTAGCAATGCGATGATACATGGCTGAATTCTTCTACGCAGTCAAGAGGACACGTAGCCAGCCTGTTGTGCACGTTCGCGTTCCCAGAATGTAGTACTCATTCTTTCCTCACACACTCTCTTTCCTCTCCCTCTCTCTCTCTCCCTCTCTCTCTCTCTCTCTCTCTCTCTCTCTCTATATATATATATATATACATACATAGTATATACATTTATATGCAACGCGTTGATATGATGCGTGTATATTCTCATTGAATCTTAAAATAAAATAACGCGCAATAGTTGAAATAAAATGAAGAGCCGACTAACCAAACCGAAAAAATAGCATTTTATCGTCATGACCGTCGTTGAGAGCTCGCAGCGCGCACACACACACCGTGTGTTTCAAATTATTGCCGAAAAGTAAAAGCAAGGGAACAGCAACAACACCAAAGAATTTACACTAAACACGCTGCTCGCATGTCAACAGGGTTAGATGCTTAGAACACTTTGTCTAATCTACGGTGCAAGGGGCTAAGCATTCACATTGGTAAAATATAGAAATTGGTGTCCATTTGTTTTCGACTGAGGAGAAGAAAAAAAACTGCGATGATTTTGCTTTCCATTCAACTCAATAAAAACTAATTTCCGATACGGTGCTGGGTAGAAACATGCGGGTATGCATTCATTCTTCAATTGGACAGTAACAATCACAATGAACAAGATGAAAAAAAAAATATTGCCAAGAAATTTTCGTTCAATATACTATTCGTATGAAAAACTCAGTAGGATATTCGCATTGTTACCGCTGTCAAAGGTAAGATTTTTTCAATTCAATTCCATTTCAGAACAATAGGCGAGTCGAAAAAAAACCATTCCATCTAGCTATATGCGTCATAACTGTTAAAACCATTGAAACGCAACTCAAGAACAATGCCGTGTGCATAAGTTAGGTGCATCATCCCCTCGCTGAACTGGTAGACTATACTTGATGTCGAGAACGACGACGACGGTAATGATGACAAGAACAACAACAACAACAACAAGAAAACTAAAGGAAGCTGATAATTCATTCGCTCTTTCTTTTCAACTATTTGAATAATTATTCCTATTTTGGTTTAGATATTTCTTTTCATTTTATTCGATTATTGTCATTCCAATTTTCGCACAGCCAATCCATTATGTATAGCACACAACATTGAACAAACAAACTATTCGAGGGATACCTGCAAACATGACTCAAACAATGTAATTCATTTGTATTTTGATTATTTATGAGTGTATGTGTGTTCATTTATATATTTATGTCTGTGTATCGATGATACTCACTAAGCCATTACTTGCTATTAGTGCCATCCATCAGCAATAAATCCGTTGCTTCATTCAAACAGATGAGCGTTCAAAAAATTTTCCATGACGCAACTTTTGTAATTACAATGCATTGGAAAGCTGTGACTAAGGAAGAACACAGAAACACAGAGAGTGAGGTACACGAAAGAAAAAGTGAAAAAAAAGAACGAAAGAACTACTCGACGGCGAAAAAAACTGAAGAACACAGGCATTAAAATTGAAATAAGGGAAGAAAATATAAATACACATAGACGATTGCACTGGCACGGAACACAATGAGGAGTGCTAGTGTATCAGAATGTTGGTGACACACAGAAAGTCAGGTTTTAAGCGAATGTGTGAGCGAGATACAGCTAAAATGGTATAAGGTATGAGACAAGGGACGAGACGATGACGACGACGGGCAAACAGCAACAACAAAAAATGATATTCGTGGAGAGAGGGAGAGAGAGAGAGAGAGAGCGACCGAACGAAAGAGCAGAGTGCGGAGTGCGGTCTGTCTAAAATACAAGAAAAGGAAGAACATTAAGAATGTATCGGATGGCTTGAGCTGGGTAGCTTACATGATTCGCTTCATGTATCTTCCCGTCTTGCAGAACCATGCTCCTTGCATATGAACAACAGCCGTTTTCTGTTTTTGTTATTGTTTTGGTTTTGTGTGTTTTTCCTCTCTTTTGAGCGCTCGTTCGTCACTGTACCATCAAAAATCCACAGCCAAAATTTATACATATATTGGACCGACTCTATGCATCTCTCTCTTTTTTTCCTGCTTTTATTCACACAGCTCACTTCATTTCGGTCTCGCATTGTGTCTGAATATGTTTTTGTTCTTGCTTGAATGGTTTTTCGTATGGATTTGATGTGTTGCTTGCCACTGTATTGTTGAATACAGTATACGAATTCGATACTCCGAATACGAATCGGAGAAAACGTCGTTGTGGAACGAATACGAATGAACGAACGAACACAGATGGGAATGCACAGCACATATAGACGTGCACAATTACCTAAAAATCAATCATCAGTGTGTTGATATTTAAAATGCGCATTGTTGCAGCTGCCTACGTGACTACGGGTACGAAAGCTATGCTACTATGTGAATAGAAGCGAGAAACGAAACCAAACGAAACGAACAAGGGAAAAAAAAGCAGCAGCAACAACAACAGCGCGATGACAACAAAAATAATAATATATAAAATATCGTGTTAAAAAAGAAACAAATTTACAGAATAAAATTCTGTTTTTTGATGTGTGCAATTCAATCGTACGAATGAACAGAGAAGAAAGAAGAAAAAACCATGCCAAAAAGCTAAACAGACGAAAATGACACACAAAAAATAATGCTACAAAATTATTATTTGCTTCGCATGTCGATTCAATTTTGTCACTTTATCTTCTACAGTTTGACCACATATATTGTGTGTGTTTTGTTTTTGTTTTTTTTTTTTCGTCAGTTTAGCCAATTTTTTCCATTGTGTTTGCGTTCTGCCTGTTGGCTTCGAATGCTTGCCATTCACGATTTGACGTGTTATCGTTAAATCATGCTAAAATGAAACATAAAAATAAGGTTTTTTTCCCTTTAAAATCAGAATTTATTACAATTATGTCTTTCTACACACATGAACATACGTAGCGATAGCCCTAATATAATACGCAAAAATTTTGCTGTTGTTGTTGCTATGCCTTTTCGTATTTGCAAATGTATATGAGCAAATCGTCCGATTCACAAGCACAATTGCACGCAATCGAATGGCTGGATTGCAAACACACAGTCTGGCTCTGTGTGTTGTGTACTTGTAAACACAAGCATACCGAAACGTACACATCAATCAATGTGTGGTGCTGTCGATGTACACTGTTTTCTCTCTCTCTCTCTCTCTCTCTCTCTCTGTGTGTCTCTCTCGCTCTCTCTTTCGTTACCTCTTGGTACCGCACATACATACACACAAACACACATACACGCACACAGCTGTAGCATCTCTTGTCATGCCTCATACACTGTCACTACTGTTACTGAAAACACACGCATACACACAATCGCACAGCTGAAACGCGCTGCTTCGAAAAATGGCGATTCGAAATCATTTCTATCGTGAGTTTGTCAGTCGGAATACAACCATTGTAGGGATCGAATGTAAACTATGGAGCGGTAGCTAAATCTGATGAAATTTATCGGCCTTTGTCCGCTATTTTAGGGATTCTTTTTTTTAACATCATTTTTCAAACAAAAAAGAATAAAATAATAAAAAAAAAAATATATGTAAATATATTACACAACATATTTGTAACAAGTTTTTGCGCTATAAATGCTATAACACAACAAAAGTCGGTAAATATATTTCAACAGTAAAACTACAAGTATCAAAACCAAAATTTGTTTCTTCAACATCAAGTTTCATGCGACATATTTCGATTCACATGAAGAAAAATTTGTCCACCCGAAGTAAAAAACCAAAATCTGTTTAATTCAAACACCATATCCAGTGATGACAGTTTCTTTTTTGTAATTCAAACAAATTAATTAATAATCAAAAGTAATAATAAATTGTGTGTTGTTAAAATTTCTATCTAAAAAAATTAAATGATTTTTTTAAAATAAAATCAAAGAGTCAAACCACACACACACACACACACGTCTATCGATTCGACAACATTACGTGTGAAACATCAACAACAAATTAAAGCTATTTTTCCGACTTGAATAAAAATTTAATTCCGGTTGATAAAATTCTAAATGATTGTTTTCATACCAAAATTTAAATCGTGTTAATAATAAATGTTTCAAGCGTCATTTCGCTAATAATCTCATCAGAATAAAAGTTTGCACGCAAATCAAAGTAAAAAAAAAGTGGATTGTGGATTGTCATCAGTAGCAGAATTGTCAACCAAATTTATTCCGATAAATTCAAGAGGCCGTCATTTTTCTACGTGTGAAAAATAGTGTAATTTTTCCGTGTGCATCTTCAACTCGTTAAATGCGAAATCAATCGACATTTATATTCTCACGAGCAAATCATCGGCAATACAAAGCGCAAATCTTCTTCAATTTAAAAGCGGCATTCATCATCAGAATAGATCCAATTCCTTTTTGATTTACTGAACCAGCGTAGCGAGGACGAGAGAAAGTCAAAAAGCAAGAGAAAATTTCATTTGTTTCTGTTCTATTTTCGGGAATGTACGAGCAGTAAGAGACATAGATCCTGACTGAATCTGATTCAATGGTTGAAATTTGAAAGGAAGCACACTAGCAAGACACCAAGAATAAAATACCAGCACTTTTTTTGGGGGGAACAGGAACCGAAACCGTAAACGTGAAACGCGCAACACATTTGGGAAGTTGTTGAAAATTGAAACTTGAAAAAGAGCCATATTGACACAGGCGCGATTGACAAGCAACAAAACACAACTCAACAAAAATATTTTGTTTCTTTGGACTATCGTTGCTGTGCACCACAGATCGCTAATAGATCACAGACATACATCATCCCCGAGGGAGTTAGAGACACAGTGTGTGAGAATAGAAAGGGGTCAGCATCAACATAATAACGCCATTTGGAAGCTAATCATCAAATCCGTTGTTTTTTTTTTAATTAATTGCGGCAAAAACACGGTGCAGAAGCCAAAACGTCATACCATTTCAACATAGAGATATATAAAATATACACAGAAGAAAAGTATATCGGAGCCAACTACTTGAAAAGCGGAAATCGAAATACTATTGAACCGATCCGAACCGACCCGAACCGACCAAACCAACCAAACCAAGCCAACTAGACTGTATTTTCATTACGATTTTTCTCTTTTTGTACAAAAATGGTGAAACAAATTCTCGAAGAAAATCCAAATGACGCGAATTCGAGTAAGTGTTACGCTCTTGTTTTTTTTTCCCTTCTATATTCTCCCAATCGAATACTCTCGAACAATCTATGTATACAAATCTATAGCTATGTATATGGAATGAGAAAAAAAGACGCAGCAGAAACAATATATGATTTTTGAGTTTAGGCATATTTAATTAGGCATTAGATCTCTTTGTGTGCAGAGAGTTGTGAGAGTGAGATAGTCAGTTTAGAGACTGCATAGTTGCTAGTATGGTGTAGATAAAATACCAAATAGATATTTTATGATCAATTATTAGTCAACGATGTGTCGACAGAGTCTCCGTACGAATGTGGTTGATTTGAGTGGATGTCACTGATGTCACTAATGTCACAAATAAAGAACAAGTACTCATATTATATGGTTTTTTTTTGGTCTTTATTCCAAAAATGTTGGAATTGACTGAAGAAGAAGAAAAACAACACCATGAATGAGGAAAAAATATGGTAAAAATTGAATAAAAGAGTTTGAGCGAGTGAGCAAGCGAGTGAGAGAAAGAGAAAGAAAAAAAAACGTAAGCCCAATACATAAATGCATCGAATGTGAAACAACTACAGCCACTCTCTACAGGCAGCACACAGATTTGGGTACGCAACACCAAAACAGAAAGTACAATGTAAATGCATACATCATTTTGGAAAACATATGTAGCCGAGGCACCAATACTATGGCAAAAGAATTTTAAAGATGCAACGCGCTTACGCGTTCACATATTTTCTTTTCCTCATCGTGCGACGCGAGCATGTATGTGCGTGTCGTTGTCGGTGTCTATACACGATAGATTTTGCTTCTGTGTATTACGTAGATATTTTAGTTTTTTTTTCTTTCTTTCGCATAGTGGTTATTATGAAGTTGCTCTGCATACAAAGTGAATTTTACACAAATCTGTACGAAAATGGATTTAATTTGTTGTGCATTCGTCATACAATGTACAACAACAACAACAAAAAACTCTTAATTCCTGACTATAGGCTGGTCGCTCAAGCGACGTCCAACGATAACCATGAACGTTCAACTCGAAAAATTGTAACGAACAGACAAAGCAGACGAACAAACGAATGAAAAAAAAACAACAACACCACTGTCTCAAATGAACAGGCTATTGAGGCTTACGCTCACATCGACACCATACACACAAATACACACACATCGACGAAGAGAGTGGCGTACGTGAATTGCCGCATATAAACATAATTTTGAGGCTATATATGTATATATACAACAAAAATCATACGGTTTTTGTTGTTTTTCATTTTCTTCGATCAGATGGGAGTAATATTTTGATTAGGCCTTGGTGCTATGCTATGATGTGCTGTGTGTATTTTTGTGAAACGTTCGGTTTGTGTTTGTGCTACACATGGGCAGAGAGAGAGAGAGAGAGAGAACTCGATGTGATTGTTATTGAGCGAGTCAACTTGAATTGCCAGCCCATGATTGTGTATGCATTTTGATATTAATTTCGTGTGTATTGCGTCGTTATAAAATGATTGTATGCGTCGCGTCGGTGTTCAACTCTACATGATTTTCTGTCTTCGTTATATGTGGGTTTTTTCTGGCTGTTAATCTCTTTTTTTCAATATTTATTTCGTTGGGCCTGTTTTTTTATATTCTCTTGCTGTCTCGCTCTTGCTCTCGGTCTAATAGATTTTCAAAGCGAACGTATTTTAATTACTTTTGTGTATCAAGCCCAGGCTTTGTGATGCAAAATGCACGGGTTTACACTTATACGATACGAGCGATAAATAGTGAGCAAACATGCATTTTTTCCTACCATTTCTTCGTTCGCGATTATGATGTGGCTGTTGTGAACATAATCTGAATGTGTTCAGTTTTTTTTTACTTCTTCATACGTATACGTATATTCGATTCGTCTTTGTGTTTTCTTCTTTTCGAATTAAGAAGAAGAAAAAAAAACATTTATAATAAAAGAAAAAAACATTTTCTGGTTTGTTGTGTGTTAGAAAATGCACATGCACTAGAAGCCAGAGCCAAAGTGTGATGATGGCTGGCAAAACTGGTTCAGATAAATGAGTTTAAGATGCTCTGTAGCCGATGTGTTGGTCTCGGTTCTCGCTCTCTCTCTCTCTCTCTCTTTGTCTCTCTCACGTGAGCTCTTTTTCTGGCACACTCGGCGAGTCTCTGTCTTGTTTGCTCGCTCTCTTGTCTCGTCTCTCTTAAAGAGTTGACGAATTACGATCGATGCAGATGAAAATTAAAATTGTGACACTATGCGAGGTTGGCTTTTGTACAAAATAAGAAACACCATGTTGATGCTGTTGCTACTGTTGCTGCAGCTGCGACGAAATGACGAAATTAAATATTGATTCATCGAGCACCGAATGCAAATAAGCCGAAGACTAGTTTGAATTCATATTTAAAAATAATAATGTGTCATGAGTGCACTCGGTTTTGTTCTTTGCTCTGCTTGCGTGTGCAATTCCCTCATTGTTTTTCTGTTCTGTGCGACCTCTGATCGTTTGTTAAATGAATGCAATTAACAATGTCTTTTATTTTCCATGTTTAATTAAAAATAATGGCACGCAAATCGATTCTGCACTTGTCGATGCAGAAATACGCTTTCACACAATCTTCATTATGTACTTTCTTTATACTCTTTTTCCAATCACATGTTGCCAAAAATTGAATTGAAGAAAAACAAACCAGTTCAGAAGAAAAAAAAAACCATACACACAACACAAATATCGATCTCGCAGAAATGAGATCGCAGAAGCCAGTTGACTAACGCGAGAGATAGACAGACAAACAATCATACACGATCACATTCAGTTTAAATTAACACTCTAATGCATACAACCGCCTCTAGACGGGCAACAGTTGAATGCCTATAGAACGTAAACCGTACATCGGATCATACTGCTTCAAAGAGAATTTTTATTTGTCAATGTTTTTTTCTTTATTTTTGTCTTTGGGAATATTTGTCTATGTAGTCTAATTGTAAAGTTATAAACAAAAATGTGTGCAAAAACAAAAATTTGACAAAATAAATTATTTGGACCACACGTTAGACACATTTTTGACGCTTTTAAACAATGGATTTGATTGTTCTCTGATTTATGTCAATCACATTTCCTGACTAAACCATGAGGAATCCAGGATTATGAATATTTTTTAAGTATCTATGGTCAAAAATCAACCAAGTACCAGTACTTCTAGCCCTGGGAAAAATTAATGCATTGGAGGGTTAAGCTGGCAATATGGCATTAATCTAAAAAGCATTTAAATTTATAGTTTAGCTCATTATCGGAAATTATATGAATTAATTAATATTTATGCGCACTGAAAAGCAGAACAATACACATTTATCTTATATATTTCTCTTAGTTTGTGTGTTTTTCTCTTCATTCTCTCTATTTCTCTTCGTCGATTGTGCGAGCGATCTTGCGATTGCTGTCACTATCACGCACACGCATATATACGTCGTAATAGCAGGCAAGCAAGCAAGCAGTTCAGCTTAGTTTGGCTCAGCTTACATTTTTATAATTCTGAATTTGACGACGACGATGACTTCAACGACAAAACGCAAACAAGAAGAGAGCACAGAAAAAGCAAAAAACAAACAAACATGCAAAATAGTTGATAATATGTATGTAATTACAACTGCAAATAGGCCACGCCCGTATTCTCACACAAATCCATTTGCACACAGCGTTGAATAAAAGCAAAGCAAAGCAAAGGCAAATACAAGAATGGCATAAAAAACCGAGAGCAAAGAGATAAATAACGATTGAGAATTAATTTAAAGGTAAAAATGCCAAAAAAAAACTTAGAATTATTGAATATATTAGGCAGCGTGGAAAGAAACACGTTTTTCAAATCTCTCGCAATTTGAGGTTCGATTTTCAAACAAGATTCGTTTCACGTCTCACTCGATCGAAACATGGGCATATGAATTTGGCAGGCATTTATGGCATCGATGAAACGCGCAAATTAAACCACTCTCCGGTGCTCTTTTTCCCACTCCAACTGGCTCGAGGTGCTTTTGTTTCTATCTATATTTCGCCCTCACTTACGCATGTCTTCAATTTACTTTCGAGCCACAACATCATCGGCATATTTCACACATTATAGTATTGCGATCGCGCGTTATAATTCCACGCGAACACCATTCACACAAACAATGTGCTCGATGTGTCTTTTCGAGAGTTTTGAAATAAAAACAAAACGAAACGATATGAAATGAAGAGAAAAATAAAAACAAAATAGAAACCAAACTGGAAATGCTCACTGCGAAAAATGCTCTGGATGAAAAAGAAGAAGAAGTTGAGAAAAAAAAAACATTATCGGAAAGAATTAAAAATAAAATTTATAGAGAGAAAAAAAGCCCAACTGAAATATGAAATACGTCTAAATTTAAGCAAGTCGCTATCAAAGCTTATTTATAAATAAGGCCAAATCAGAGCAGGAAATATTGCGTCGTAGCATTCTTAGATTAAAAGCCCATTGAATCATATGATTTTATTTTAAAAAAATTTCTCTTTAAACATATTTATATATATATAATACCCCATAAATGCGTGACTAAATGTCAATTGAATTAATTCTATTAATTTTTGACCATGTTACAGCTTCGCACAATGAAATTTCACGCTATTCGAGTGAAGAAATTTCAGGGAATGAGTCGAATGAAGTAACATCTATGACGGAGTCAGAACGACATGCCGAAATCAATCGCCAGAAGGAGGAGATGAAGATCAAACGTCGCAAAAAGAAGCGTACAAGCTCATCAATGCAATCATCTACATTCAAAGGTAAACTATTAATAAAAAATTGTGTTCAATTTTCGTTTGTGATTTTACGCACTGAATCGAATGAACAGGAGGAAATGTGTGTCGCATAAGACACACGCTTTAAATAGCCCGATCCAATTGATTGTCCGAGATCGCAGCAATCATTCAGCAAATCTAATAAACTTGGCTATGAAAGGATACAACATGAAAATTCACACATGCAAATAAATAAGCATTGTTGTCACAAACCATCGTGCTTCGAGCAAAAACGCCGTTTTCCTCGAAGTCGTCGATGCATGCTCGTTCTCTGTCTGTCTGTCAGGTTATGTCGAGAAATTTCAGCTTGTATCAGCACACTTTTTTCTTTTTCTCAAACGTATACTAGATTCTATGGCGATGAACTTTAGTTTGAACCAAAAAAAAGGAACTAACGCGGATTTTTCTTGGAAATATGTATATTTATATTTCACGGATTGACGTGCAAGCACGTGTAACACGAATATTTGTTCACGTATTCATGTGGCGATCATGGGCGTCCATACACTCGTACGACAGCCTAAATGATTGCGCATCAATACAGAAACTAGACCAATTTGTCGCATTTCACCCAGTTTTTTTTTCCACACACGTTTCAACGATTTAATTTCTTAATTTGTTTCTTCTTCTTTTTTTCTTCTCGTTTCGCGTGCACAGAACTGTACAAGCTAACTGGTGATATTTTGGGAGAAGGTGCATATGCTTCCGTTCAAACATGTGTAAATATTTATACAGATTTGGAATATGCCGTGAAAATTATTGACAAGATTCCAGGCCATGCTCGTGCCCGTGTTTTTCGCGAAGTGGAAACATTCCACCATTGCCAAGGACATCCCGGCATTTTGCAATTGATCGAATTCTTCGAGGATGAAGATAAATTCTATCTAGTTTTTGAGAAGGTACGTGTATTCACACAGTATTACTATCGCTTGATTTATGACTGGTGTTTTTTCCCCATGTTTTTTTCTTCTTTGATCACAACAAAATGTTGTTCCCATGTTTTCTTCTGTCACAGTCCATTTCTTGCTGTATTCTTATTGAGTTTTTCTTATTTTATGGTATATACAGATCAACGGGGGTCCTCTGCTAACGCGAATCCAAGAGCATGTACGCTTTTCGGAGCACGAGGCAGCTCAAATAATCAAGGAGATTGCATCGGGTCTAGACTTTCTGCATAAGAAGGGAATTGCTCATCGTGATTTGAAACCGGAAAATATTCTGTGTGTCTCAAAGGAAAAATTGTGTCCAATTAAAATATGTGATTTTGATCTGGGATCTGGCATCAACTTTACCACGGAATTGTCATCACCGTCAGCCACACCGCTACTCTTAACACCGGTAAGTACCAAAGTGTAGTTCGTTTATTGAACAAACAAGCAGAAAAAAAAACAAATAAAAATCGATTCCATTTGGCTGTAACCTCATTTTGCCGACAATAAAACACCGAACGGCATGCTTCATTTTGCCAATTTTCAAAGTGAAACACACACACAATCCATTTCCATTTGTGTTCGGGTAATTTTTATTGCTTTCGTTGCCATTTTTTCAAAGTTGGTCAAATGTAAACTGGTCTCGGGCAAAGAGACAAAGAAAACAAACATACAAACGAAAGAAATGAAAAAAAAAACCAACAAGCAGGAATGTCACTAAAAATAATATTGTCGAAAGTGCGGCATATGCTCCTGAATTGCGTTCGCGCAGAGAGTGTGATGTGAAAGTAGATAAATCGAAAGAAAACTGAAATCATAAGAATAATGAAATAAACAGAATGAAAAAAGAAGAAGGATGGCATAAACAAATATGCATGCATAATGTGTGTACTTCATCAATTGAAATGCCGACAGCTGTTACAGTTGTTACTCTGTTTTTTTTTTACAAAACTACGACGACGACGATGATGATAAATAAATAATAAATGAGTCAATTTAATAGCGCGACCACCGAAATGCAACGCATTGTCGAACGCCACTATAGAAGTGAAGAAAAAAAAAAACAACCACAACAACGACGACGATACACAATAACAAAACTGAAATGACAAGGAGGGCTTAACAGCTTAGAACTTAGGGCAGTTTGCTTAAATTAGAAATTGAACAAACAAAAACCAGCAAAAAGAATCAAAGAGTCAGAAAAAATCGCTATAGGGAAAAAATCGCATTCAAAAGGAATCGAATGGAAATAGTAGCAAAAAATAATAATAATAACACAGAAAAAAAAGTGGTGTTAGGCAAAAAGCGGCCGGAAACCGATAGAAAATGAATGCAAATGAATTTCAAATTTTGCATTGTGATGATTTCCTATTGTTTTCTATTTGCTTCTTACGCGAGCCAACTCGCAAGCAGATGTCGACTACGATTGTGCTTCTTTTTTTTCTTGTGCCATTCATGAGTGACAAATGAAAAAATAAATTCCAAGTTCGATGGCATACAAAAAAAAAATGTACTGATACTTGTTATTAACAACATATGAACGAAATAACAAAACTATAAATTCACAATAATAAGTTAATTTCATTCAAATTTTTGTGTTTTGTGCAAGCAAAACAGAACCAACAACAAAGCAGCAGCGGCAAAAAATATGGAGATGAACAAAAAGTGAAAAGAAAGGAAACGAAGAAGTTGGGAATAAAATAAAATTCGCAAAAGTGAAATAGAATATTTGCATGTCCTTGGGAATGGCAATCATAGTCACGGGCGTCAATCACATTCGGAAACCGATCACACATTAATAAAGATAGAGAAATATCGGTTCAGATGATACTGCCACGTTGAATTGAACCGAATACCAGAGCAAAATGTTTTGTTCATGTTATTGTTTTTTCGGTGTGTGATATCACGATCTTATGTTAGACATTCACTTTATATTCATATCAATTGGCCTCAAAAAATTCAACTTAATTGACCGAGTTGATGTTGGGAATGTTGAACGAAAAAAAAGAGGAACGAGCGGCCGCATCATCATCAACATTTGTATCAGCGGCAATATACCTAGTACATATTGAGAGAGAGAGAGAGAGAGAGAGAGAGAGAGAGAGTATGTGTGTGTGTGTATGGAAAGCACAAAAAACACGTGGTTCACAATTTACGCAGTAGAAAATTTCGCGCAGATATCGCGGTTTGTTGATATAGCTGACTCGGTCTGTCTCACAGTCGCTCCGTATGTGGCACAACCGATTATATAATTCTCTATTTCTCATGTGTCATGCAAGAGTTCAGGCATGCGCGCTGTCGTCTTCAAATATGAATTTTAAATAAACTTTTACCATTCACAAATACACTTCGCCGTGCTGCCTTGCCAATGTTCTTTTATTCTCTCTCTCTCTATATTCTTCCTATTTTGATTTCTTTTTCCTTCTTCTTCTTCTTCTTCTTCATGTTTTTTGCAAATGAATCGACGCAAATCCATGAAGTAGTAAAACGGCCGTCAATTACGACGTTCAATGAACGAAACAAATAGATTTGGGGGATTTTAGATACCTTTTTCTGGTTTGCGATAACATTCAACACTCCATAAATATTGCCGCCGCCGCCGCCGAAAACTTATGCGTATGTGTTATTCTGGGTACAATTCAATCCATTTCGTTTTCAATCGATTGTAGTTGTTGTAGCAACAGAAGCAGCAGCAGCTTCTACCGCTGATCATGTACGTTGTTGGATACTACGCATTATAATTCGTGGTGTATTTCAATCAATGTATGTTTTGCAAATGTTGTTATTCGTCTTCTGTTCATATGGTGAAAACGAGTTGGATGAAAAGAGCAAAGCCGCTAACAAAATCCCCATTCTAATGCCGGCATTTCAATTTTTTTTATGTAACATTGTTGCGATTCACATGATTCCCTTTTCCCCTCAACAATTGCGTCTTTCGCAAAGTCAAACAATTCGTTTGCGAGTAATAATGCCTGCTGGCTGGCTTGTTCGCCAACTTGTACGATTCTTGCCAATTCTTTCTTTCTTGTTCTGTTTTTTTTTCGCCATTATGACATAATACAATTAGGGAATAAAAAGTGAAAACTATGAAGAAGTAACACACAAATAAAACGAGCAACAACAACAGCGACAACAACAACGAGAACGACATCAAGAGAGACGGGCAACACAGCAGTTCCAGCAATTAACACTAGCACACAAAAATTCTTTCGAGAGGAGTAATCTAGTGTTACGCGATATATTATGGCCAAACCACGAATAGCTTTGTTGGCTCTTATTCACATTCTTTGCGCCTCGTGCCTCCCCAACGTTCTACGTTGCCTCTCTCTCTCTCTCTCTCTCTCTCTCTATTCTCACTTATCTTATTTATACGAACTGCGCAATTTTCTTTTCTTCAACTATTTGCCGCTGTCGCACGTTTTGTTTTTTCTCTTCCGCTTATTTCACTTCTTGATTGTTGAGCAGACGGCATGGAGTGTGTGTGTATGTATGTATGTATGTATGTTTTTTTATGGATTTGTCGTGCAATAAACATTTCGTTCTCGCATATAGGCTTTCAAGAGCATGCGGATAAATTTGCCATAAAGTTAAAACGCCGACCATTCTTCTATCTACTGCGTTTTAACAACGAAAAAATTGCTACGCATATCGGTACCTATGATCGACTTAGACTTTAACAATAGCGCCTTCATTCTAAAACAACATTTTTCATTACGAATTGAAATAGAACCCTTTCTTCTTCATATTCTCTCTGTGTGTGTGTTTTCTCTCTCTCCCTCCCTCTCTCGCTCTTCATTCTGTTGCTATTTTTATAGCACACAACATGAAACGGCCCAATGATTAATTACACCGAATTCAATTGATTATTTCTGATTTATCAGAAAATTAATTCCGTTTTTGCGCACTATACTATTGCGGAACCACGCGATGACGACCAATGACCACTCATCGCCCAATGATAGTGAAATCGCTTGGCTGATATTCAATCCATATGCACATATACACATGGACGCACATGCACGTACTCGAAATATATTGCGATCTAATGGAGACATGAACAACAGAAAAACAAAGTATCTATTTTACGAGCTTAGAACTAAACGCACATAAATTTTTGTTTATTATTTTCAAGGTTATCACATCAAGTGATAAGTGATAATCGCAGACAAGTTCAAAACCAATATCAACAAAATGTTGTGGAAAAACAACCCAATTACATATACAAACCCAGACACACAATTTCTCTCTATCTGACTAATGAAAAAAAAAACAGTTTGCGAAGGGATTAGCTTCATAATGAAAATTGGCACACACAAAATTGAAACAATTTGCCAAATGAGGCTCATGAATAATTCCGAAAATTTGCTAAAAATAAAAGCCATCAATTAAAATTCAATTGAAAATTCATAGCGAACATTTGGAAATGGATTATTCTCGTAATATATGCATTTCATCTGATTGAACATTTAACTGGGTACTGTGTGTATTGTTGCGATTGAAACAAAAATACATGTAGCAGAGGAATAAAAAATGTCACTTAGTTAAATCAAAATACAATGTTTTTTCGCTGAATTCATCATTTGCCTTTTCATAATCGGAGTCGTTGTCATAAACCATCCAAATTTGTAACATAGTCCAAATTGTAACAATTGAACAAATAGACTAATTTTCTGCAAAACTTTGAAAGGTAACTGTTGTTTTTTATATCATATTTGAGAAAAAACTTCCGATATGAATATATGACCTATTTGTATTTTTTCAGAAAAATGGTTTATTTTAAGACTATGTTACAGTTAGAACTATGTTACAATTTGGATGGTTTACGATATCTGATTTTGTGTGCGTTATTAATGGTTTTGTGTTTGTCACTCTCTTTTTTCCCATTGCAATTGTCTTGATCTCATAGGTCGGCAGTGCCGAGTTCATGGCACCAGAAGTAGTGACGCTGTTTGAAGGTGAAGCCAATTATTATGATAAGCGGTGCGATCTATGGTCATTGGGAGTCATAGCCTACATCCTACTCTGTGGCTATCCTCCATTTTCGGGTAACTGTGAAGAAGACTGTGGTTGGAATCGTGGCGAGAATTGCACCAATTGCCAAAAATTACTGTTCGAATCAATTCAAGAAGGTGAGTGTACATTACTGGTTCGCTACGAGGCTGATGCAATCACAGCCAACTGTTTCGCCACGCCGAATAAATTGATTAACTGGATTTTTGTGTGTTCTGCGTTTTTTTCCCTCTTTTTTTTTTTACATACGCGCAAAAAAAAAACAAATCAACAACGACGACGACAAAAAAAACACGAAAACAGGTCGATTCAGTTTTCCAGATAGTGAATGGGCGGACGTAAGCAACGAGGCAAAAGATTTGATAAGAGGCCTTCTGGTAAAGAATGCCCCAAAACGATTGAGCGCTGAAGCTGTGCTACAACATCCTTGGATCAAAATGGCTGAAAGTGGAAATGCCGATAAAGTTGACATGGAGCGACGACATCGGGCATTGAAAACACCGGGTATTATTAGACGGTAAGCAACTACGGTTAAATTTATACATGATACGGATTTCAAATGAGTTGTCATTGGATGACTCACCACACTCGCTCACCGACTGTCACATGATTCAACACGTTTTAATCATGTGATTATTTATCATTATCCTGCATTTCCATTCCAAATTGGATTTTTACCTAATCTAGTATTAATTTATTCCGTTTATTTGTGTTTTTTTTTCTTTTCGTTCTTGTTTCGATATTATGCAAACAGTAACCAATCGGCACGTGAACTGAGTCACTTTGCCGAATCTGCAATGGCTGTGAAACGTGTAATAATGCAGCATTTTTCAATGAAATACGATTACATGAACAAAGAACGTCCGAACATTTACCATCCATCTCGAGCCGGTGTTCGTGCCGAACCATCGATGAACGGTGGTGGTGGTGGCGGTGGCACTCGATCAAACAGCAATGATGACGGCGACGATGTAACGTTGCACAATTCAAGTGAATCCACTCCACCAGCTGACGACAATCAATTGGTTGATTCGGTGAATGACGACGATGACGATAACCGCACCGAAATTTATAACATCAACCATGATGACGGATGCAACGACGATGAGGTGTTCAATGATGGTGTCGAACGACGACAGAGACGATTGTCTGATTTGGATTCGGAACTGAGCTCGAGAAAGTTGCCAGCGGCCGCAACAAAAAAGCAAATGCCTTCCATTGAAGAGCAACTGAATGACGCTGTGCGCTCATTGAACGAACATCAACAGATGCAAACGAATGCAATGGCCAATCGTCGCTCCCAGACCGCACTAAAAATGTACGCTACATCGAACGGCCTAGGTAGTATTATAGAAAAGTTATCTGTGGATGATTCCGAAACAACAAATACTTCTCCGATTGTTGAGTCTCCATTCAAAAAACCGCAAGTGATAGTGAAAAATTCTGGTCTCGATGCGAACGCCAAGAATGTGCCATCGTCGAATATTCGTCACGAGATCCAGGATAGTCATGCGCAACAGAAAAATCCCATGGCTATTAATACGCGTAACAATATTCGACCCGAAGAAAATTGGCGTTATCGCAGCAACAGCAATTCCTTGGAGAACAAGCAGCCAACAAGTGAGTTTGTCGCTTTCCTTCCTGTCTTTTTCTTTCCTTCTCTTATCAAACTTGTATCGATCATGATTTTCGACACCGATATTCAACGTGCACATTTCCATTTCTTCTCGCAGGGAATATGCCAACGATGGGTTTCAAAACTTATCGTAATTTTACGAATAATTATGTGAATTCATCGAACATCGATAGAGCCGCAGCTCTGTACCATCACCATGCGGCCAACAATAACAACAGCAACAACAACATAAATAATAATAATAACAGCATCAATAACAGCAACGGCTATCGCAAGATGCAGCCGTATCAGCGATATCAGAACGAGCACTATGCGTTTGGTAAGGGCAAAGGGTACGAATCTTCACAAAACACTGGCATCAACTGGCGCAACGAATGTCGGCACACCATCGACTATGATGAAGATTCGGACCTAAACATTGGCCTATCGCCACCAAGTGAGTCAATGCTATTGCAACGACGCATTTTGCGACGATCCGATATCGCCATCCGGAGTCCTCCGCCGCAAACCGCAAGCGGTTAATGAGTATTCGGGCTCCCAGAACATCTTATTATTTTTTTTTATTTTTTTTTTCATTGGCTCATAAACTTTTCTTCTTTAACTTGTAATAGAAGCAAGTGGTAATTGTAATGTTACTCTTGTTTTTAAACATTCAGTGAATGTGTCATTCACAAAACAATTTGATGAAGATTCTCTTTTTTTTGTTTTTTTTTTCATCTTTTCTTTTCCCTTTAACCAAGTCCAATCTAAATCGATAGTTATGCTTCAAAAACAAAAAACAAATCAATTAAATGTTACTTGAATCAGTGAAAAGAATATTTTTTAAAAATTTCTTGTAGAATTTTTTTTAGAAAACAAAAAATTTGATATTTAAGTTGAACTAAGAGAAACAACAGCAACAACAACAACAAGAAAAAAATAACGCTAAAATAACAAAAAAAATCCATACAAAAAAATCCTTAGAGATGATGCTATAAATTAAGCAATACGATCGACTGAAATTCTAACAAAACATAAGCATTTTTATAGAGGAAAAAAAATTAAACTCTTTTGCGTAATCAAAAAAACAAAAAATAATGAGAAAAAAATTGGCAAGAAAAGAAAACCAACAAAAAAAAAATCAACAAAAAAAAACAAAAATAGTAAACATAAAATGCAAGGGAGATAATAACAACGAGAGGATACATTTAACCAATAGATATTATATTTAATACTTTTGAATTTGAGAGCAATGTAACAGTTAGAGCCCCTCTCTCGCTCCCATATGGTACTGGCTTCCATTACTTAAAAACATTGAGAGAAAAAAAACCAACAACCCAAAAAAAAACCAAACGAAAGAAAGAAAAATAATTCTGGAACGAAAAAAAAAAAAAAAACAACACTGAGCGAAACTTCATACAGAAGGTCATTGAATGGAAAATTGAAATAAAAACGAATTATAAAACAAAATCTAGTTTGTGAACGAAAAAGAAAAGAATAAAAGGAAAATAAAATAAAAATGAAGCAAAACAAAAGTGAGTCGAAAACAGACCACAAAAATACAATTTCTAGAGACGAATGTATCGATCTTGAGATAAAAAGCAAGCTGATGTATTTGATCAACTTGCAAATAATTTGTAAGCCAAGTGTCTTTCATTTAGTTTCGTTCAAGATATGTATGTAATTCCAATCCTCAAATTTCCATTTATACACATTTTCGAGACTCTCAGATGTTTCCATGAATTCCCTCATGTTCGCATGTTGTGTGTGTTTTTTTCCACACATATTTCTCTATATGTGGGATAAAAAAAATTCCTCAGAGCGCCGAAAATGGTTCTATTTCCATTGAATGTTTGTCGTGCAAACAAACACACATTGCCTTGTGCACATCTCAATACGATAGAGTCGTTGTTTTTTTAAGTACAGAATTATTATTTTTCGGATGGCGAAGACAGCCCAAATCAAATGAAATTGAAAAGGAAGAAAAAAAAACACAATTTTTTTTTTGTCATTGGAACGCAAAAAATCGAAAACAAAAAAAAAGAGTGAAAAGAATAAGAAAACAAATTAATGATAAACAAAAAGAAAAGAATAAAAGGAGTGAATACGTTTGATAAATTAAAATTTTAGAAACAAAGAAATAAAAAAAAGAGAATGTTTTCTAATGTGAACGACTGCATAGCATAAAAATAATGGAAAAAAAATTAGTCATTAAAAGAAAAGAATCATTATTGTTATGTTTAAAGGTTTTTTTTTCTTCAATAAGCCTTGTCTTTTTTTACTATACCTATTTGTACAAATTTGCGAGAAAAAGAAAAGAAAAGGAAAGCGACAACGAATCGCGAGACAATTTGATATGCGAGTTTAAGAAGGAATGAACGACAGAAAGCCAGAGCACACACAAACACACTCACACACATACCACAAAAAACATAAACACACACACACACTCGAATAACAACTAATTTGTATTTCAAGAGTCGAGAATTTAAGTAACAAAAAAGGATATATATATATATATAAAAATATAACATAAAAATTTATCGCTCTACACACAAAATAAATGAGTCAAACATCATAAATGATCAATTAGAAGAATTGATTGGCGGTTGAAACAGAAGAAAATTTAACACAAAACGAACGAACGAACGAAGAAGAAGAAGAAAAAGAATGAAATTCACCATTAGATTTTTATTGATAGCGTGCAGTAATTTGTTTGCAATACTGTCTGATTTTCGCAATTCTCCGGATGATTGAAAGACAAAAAGAAGCAAACAACATCCAAATTTGTGTGCGGTTGAATCTTAATTTTGGTGTTTTTTCTTTTCTCTCTATCTCGCTCATTTGGTTTTGTGTGTGAAAATGGCCAAAATTAAGATTCATTTCAGAGAATTTGCATTTATTAGTAGTATTCCACGACAAATTGAGCAGAAGATACTGAGGCAGAAGCAGATGAAGAAGATGATGAAAGAAGAAAACAAACCAAAATGAATTAAAATTCAATCAAGCGTGAAGGACATTTCATTTTACTCTCTTTCTTTAATAAACAAAACAAAACAAAAAATCAACCGCGAAGCATTTATACGTTCGAATCTATTAAGTGTTGATTGATTCAGGGAATTTAAAAAACAAATATAAAAAATAAATAATAATAATAATGCAAACAAGTTAATAGCAAACGAATCACGAATAATTGAATTAGTATTTCAGATAATATATATATGCTTTCTATTGATAGACGCAATCAGTGGTTTTTTTTTTAAAAGAAGAAGAAGAATTGAGAGTGAATCAAAGCCATTGTTTAACAGCGTTGATAGTTTCGTTTTGCAAGCAAACCAAACCCAAAATCTTTTCTCGTCTTTCGTGAAATACAAACGCGTTTTAACCAATTTAATTTGGCTTTGAAATCAATCTATTTTGCCAAACATTTCTCAAATGGGCTATAAACGTCATACAAATGAATCCAAATCCGTTTCATAGCACCAAATCCAGCAGCAACAACAAAAACAGTAGATCGAATGATTGAAAAATTTTGCAAGATTTTTCTCCGCTGATAGTAACAACAACAAAAATAATATAAAAAGAATGTATACACTCATTTCCACATTTAAAATTCATTGTGATAATTTGTAATTAAAAGAAAAATGATAAAGAAAAAAAAGAAGAGCGAAGATTGAAGGAGGAGATGAAATTGTTAACTTTCGAATAGAAAAACATGGAGAAAACGAATAAAAAAAGAGAGAAAAAATCTTCGTTTGTGGTATAAATGTACAAACACATACCGATAAAATACGTAGTACTTGCGGCGAGTGGCATTTTGCATGTCCACTTTCCAACAACAATTTTTGTACAATATTTGCAATTCAATCAATTTGGATTTATTTTATTTCCGAATGGATGCGTGTAAAACGAAGGCGTGTTTTTATTTTTGGTCTTTATTTCTTTTCTCAATGCACTCATTTCAAGAGGCATCAAAACATACCTATGTTGAAGGTCATATTGTAATATCACACGTTGATTTTTGTGTTGTTTATTTTATTTCTTTCTATTTTTGTGATTTCATCAGGCATCCATTTCAATAACCGAAACAAACCAATAATCGCAATAATAATTTACAATTAATATCATTTTCTTCCCGAAACAACAAAAGTGAAAAGTAAAAAAAAAAACCTAAATACAGTGATAATTGGAACGCAGAATAGTGTGTAGGCAATAGGGAAACAGTTGCCATTTTATTAAAGAACAGAACAATTCATTAAAATCAGATAATAATCAACGATTAAAACCGTAATTTCTCAACACATTTTGGTTCTTTCCCCAGTGCAATTTTTTTTAATACCAGAAAGAACTCTCAAGAACACAACCTCATTGAGCATTGCTAATAAGTGTCACACACCGATATTTATTCTTATGAAATTGACAGCAGAAACTATAAACAGACAACAAATGACAATTTAATCACATTCGCATGCAAAACTTATAAACACAAATTCAATTTTTGCCGGATTTTAACTAACTTTGTTTTTTTTTATACGAAAGCATATAAAATGTACGATTGTGCGCATTGTTTTCCAGGGCGGGAAAACGAAAATAGCCAAACTAACGAAAAGAGAATTGCCATTTCAGAAGAGAGCTAAACGAAATAATTGAAGAACGTTTCGGTCAAAACCGATCAATTGAGAGAGAGAAAACGAATAGAGTGATTGTGAGGTGCAACATTTGTGATGGGAATTTGATGTGAGTGCAGATCATTTCATTTGATTGGAATACATTGCGCCCTTCGTCAGAAAATAGGCTTGACATACGGCTTCATATCGATTTAGGTATACATTGAGTATATGCTGTTGCTTTTGAACCGCAATTACAATCAAATCATAACGATTTGCATCCAGAGTGTTTTTTTTTTACTTTTTTCTATTGTAATTGTCTACTACTACTTGAGGGATAATAAATCATTCCACGAATCAATCACACGAATCCAATTCGATTCAATGGCGATGATTTCGATGGAATCATTCACATACAAACCGTTGTGATGGTGTTTGTACATTGCGGTTTAACTAAATCAGCATATTTCAATTCATAAATAAGCATTGTGTGTTTAATAAGTTTACTAGCGTGTAACCATTTTTCATAATTGAACCGAGCATTAAAAATGAAACACGAAGTGAATTATGTATTGGGGGGGGGGGGGGGGGGTAAAAAGGGAAGAAAATTTCTAAATTGAATTTAACAAAAGTAAAATCGGAAAAATACCGCATCTAAAATCGCTCAACAGCGACTATTTCAAACAACAACAACAAATGAAACGAACATTCAACTGCAATTGTCACCAGCACTTGAATGAATGACTGCAGCAATGCAGACGAACATTTATTATAATAATACGTGATGATAATGATGATGATGAATTATTATTTTTCTGGTGTTGATATATAAAAACGCAAGAGTACATTATTATTACAATTACAATTATTATTAAAAACTATATATTGAGAAAGAGAGGAAGAAGGAGAAAGAGAAAGAAGAAAAAAATGATAGAAACACAAAACGAGATCTACAAAGAATTGTTAAAACGAAACAAAAAAAAAATGTTCTAATTTTTTTACAAATAAAAATAACAGAAAAAAGTGATGAATTAATGAATTAATGGTGTTTTATTTTCTATGCATAATGTTTTTTTATGGGTTTTCTCTTTTTAGGTCTGCCGAATGACGAATGTGCCCAATGCAAAAGAATGTAAAAAATTTCTAGCTCCCAATTGTTCTTCCCATTTTAGAATTATTTGGATGCATTAAAATTATTTCATTTTGCTAGGATTTTCGAGAGACCAT